CCAATGTCAGTGGCTTTGCATCAAACTGGAAGGAGTGATGAATGGTATGTGGATCTAGCCTTTGTAAGATTCAGTGTATTTATCATGAATTATATAAGAGGTTAGAACATCTGATTGTGAAATATTCTTACAATTCAGCCTTGATAATTTTTTTTTTGAGACATTATTAAGATTGAGGAGGATCTTAACAAATGGAAAGAGTAGTTAGAACAAGATATATGTTAGCAGAGGCAAAAACATTCTATATCTGAGTAAGAAAAATCAAGGCATTAGCATAGGAGATACATGGTGGGCAGCAATACATGTGATAGACACCTGGGGTCTTTGATAGATCAAAAACTGAACATGAACCAGCAATGTAGTACACGTGTAATAAAAAAAAAAAGCAAATGCAGCTACAGACTTTACGTAAAGGTAAAGGTTCCCCTTGCACGTATGTGCTAATTTTTCCCAACTCTAGGGGGCAGTGCTCATCTCCGTTTCAAAGCTGAAGAGCCAGCGCTGTCCGAAGACGTCTCCGTGGTCATGTGGCTGGCATGACTAAATGCCAAAGGTGCATGGAACGCTGTTACCTTCCCACCAAAGGTGGTCCCTATTTTTCTACTTGCATTTTTTATGTGCTTTCGAACTGCTAGGTTGGCAGAAGCTGGGACAAGTGACGGGAGCTCACCCCGTTACGCGGCACTAGGGATTCAAACCGCTGAACTGCCGACCTTTCAATTGACAAGCTCAGCATCTTACCCACTAAACCACCATGTCCCTTTAAGCCACCGTGTCCCTGACTTTATCAACAGCCATATATTTCAAGATCAAGAAAAGTCAGCATTTCTCTCTCAATGCAAACCTGGAATATTTGTCCAGTTCTGGATGCCATATTTTAGGAAGGACGTTGTAAACTGGAATGTATCCAGAGGAGAACAACCAAGATAACAAGGAAAATTTTCTTAATGCTTGGAATTGCTAACTATGTCTCTTCCTCTGTCTCTCCTTCACTAGAAGTTGTGGATTCTTCTGCACTGGAGGTATTTTTAACAATGGTTGGATGGCCATCAGTTAGGGCTGCTTTAATAGTAGGTTCTTGCATTGGGAAAGGAGTAACACTAAATGGCTTCCATTCCAAGGTCTTTTTCAGTCTTTAGTTTTGTGATTCTTATTAAGTTACCTATTTTTTTTAAATTCTCAAACACATTGACCTTGCATAACTTTTTTTAATTGAGCTTAAATTGATATGGACCATATAACTATGTGTTGACATAACTATGTCTTCAGCAAGTTTATCCCCTGCAAACATAAGATTTGTAGTCCAATATATCTAGAAGGAATGTAGAAAGTTTGACTAACGAATATTGAACTTCTGATTTTTCTGCAAGCTGCTAAGTCATCTAAAGAATAGCCAAATGAGAACTGATTGTCTGATATTGTCCATTCAACATTTTCTGTCCTGAAGGCTGAGAAACTGTAGTGGCTGGATTGGTTTTGAGTAATGCATGATTTATGTGCAATGTTTAAAATTGCTGTGCTAATTTCATGACAGTGTTACCAACAGTATTGTGCTTGTAGATGAATAAATGGAGATCGCTGTCTAATTAACAGAAGGTTTTGGTCCAAAGAATGAATTGCTAAATATTATTTCTTGGATCTTATCAGAAAAAAATAAATTATCATTTTTTTAAAAAAATAGGGATATAAATGCAAGAAGAGATTTAAGACTGAATGAAAAAGCTTACAAGAATATCTAATATACAGAATAAATTGTTAAGATTCCAAAGTGGGAAGGCAGAATGTTGTTTGAGATCTCAGCACCACCATTTTGTCTCCCCCTGCCATTCTTACTGTATACAGTCTAATTATTTTTTCAACTTTTTAGTATACTGAAACCAAGGGCCCAATAAATGAGAGTGCGTGGGAAACTGAAACAACTCATTTGTTGCATTGCCTTGAATGAAAAATAGGAATCAGTCTGATTGTTTCTGTTACAGAATCATGCTTTGAATTGATCTGGTCTCTTGCATGCAGAGCCCAGATCAATTGCACCTCAAAAGGGGGGGCGGTGAAAAATGGGGGGGGGGTTGTCCTTTCTGGAAGAAGAGGACAAAGCCAGCTCTAAAAACCAAGTTATTATTTGGCTAGCAAATTTAGAAAGATATTTTTTGGTCTGCACAACTGGGCTTTTTATAGCAATTTAGAATCAATTTACCCAAATCATCTATTTGTTAACATGTGCAATAACAGCATGTACTGTCAGAACAATATGGCCCCAGAATCTTTAGCTGTCTTAGAAACTGTCTTTTTTTAGCCTTTTTTAGTCTTTTAAATTGTCAATCGAGTTTTAGTTTGAATGTTTTAAATTTTGAGCCACAGTTATATAATTATTTTAAAATTTTAAATTTTGTATTGGTATGTGTTTTAGTTCTGGCTGTGCACCGCCCTGAATCCACTAGGAGAAGGGCGAGATATAAATCAAATAAAAAAATTAAAAATAAAATAAAATAAAACATCTGAAGTAGTGGAATATTTAAGAGAAGCTGTATTTGAAGTAAAATTGGCATTTCTGTAAGAAATTAAAGAATTTAACAAGGGTTGATATTAGTAATGTTTACATTTTATAGAAACAAGGACTTGAAATATCCAATTTTTGAAAATTAGTGGGCCCACTAATTTAAGAAATATTAAATATTATTTAAAGATGAAGTTAATCCATCAGAAAATTCTAGGTTGTATCTATTGGCCTCTCTATGATAAGAAGTGTGAGGATTCTTTGATTAATATTGTGATGGGAGAATCCCGATACTCCCATGTAACACCCCTTCTGCGCGACCTGCATTGGTTACCGGTTGCCCTCCGGGTGAGATTCAAGATGCTGGTGATGACCTATAAAGCCCTACATGGCTTAGGCCCAGGATATTTGGCGGACCACCTGCAGCCAGCAACAACATCCCATTGCCCGGTTCGCACCCATAGGGAGACCCTGCTCAGGGTGCCTTCAGCGAGACAATGTCGTCTGGCAGCCCCCAGGGGTAGAGCCTTCTCTGTGGAGGCGCCCACCCTCTGGAATCAACTTCCCTTGGGGCTTCGGCTGGCCCCTGACCTTCGCACCTTTCACTGCGAATTAAAAGCTTGGTTATTCGAGTCCCCCGGCCTGGACTCATGGGGTTTTTTACGGGTTTTTAATTGTATCTGATTTAATTAGGCATTTTAAATTGCATTATGGATTGTGGTTTTTATTGTTGTGAGCCGCCCTGAGCCCATTGGAGATAGGGCGGCATATAAGCCTAATAAAATAAATAAATAAATAAAATAAATAATATAATGTTTTCTTTTTCAGGGGAAAACATAGCTGTTGTAGAGGTGAATATAATAACAATATGGAATTTAAGATATTATGGAAAACTTTGGCTTTATTGAGCCTGGGAATTAGTAAGAGAATTAATTTGCATAGATTGAAATAAAATAAGTAAGGCTTCAGTTGTTGAAGTGAGGCTTCAAGAGATGTATTCTCTGTCAATCTTTGAAATGTCAAATAAATCTTACTGCTAAACAGTAAAAATAAGAAGATGGAACATTAAGTTTATATATGGTCTAAATTTAACAACATGTTAAAGGATTGAGCTTGCTATCTATTAATATTCCTCACTAGGATTTGTTTTATGAATCCTTTCCCTCTTTCTCTTTTCAAATTTTCAGTTTATGATCACCATTATTCTTTTTCATTGTATTATCACAGGTCGTTTCTTTTTATATTTTTGCCTGTTAATTTCACTTATAAAACAATTTAAAAAAGTACATTCTTAAAAAGAACAAGAATTTCAACCCTTCTTCCTAAGAGTTGATAGGAAAGCCTCTGAACAGTTTTCACTCAGTAGTCTATTGTCAGTGTACAGCCCTGGACATTGTATTGTATGACCACATCATAAGAATTGAAAAGTGGGGTTTAAATGTCCGCAGCTTTTGGTTGAGCAGCTATTTAAAACAGTGTTTTAAATGGCTGCTCAAGTTTAAGAATTGAAGTCCATACAGCTTACAGTTGTTGAAATTGAGGAACACTGCTTTAGAGGAAGTGATTTTCTTCCTGAGGGTGATCCAAGGTCTTTCACAGCACAACCTATTTTCTACTTCGTGACAAATGGTTTCCTTCACCTTTCAAATCTGAAAAATATATGACTTAGATCTCACAAATGTTTACATTTATCTTAGGCATTTCCACATTCATCTTTAAAGTTGTCAATATATGTCTAATAAATTAATATAGATAGCACACATCATTCTCTTCCAGGATTCAAGGCAGTATAAATTGTGTTCTGTTCTGCTCCAATTTTAGCCTCACCATAGGTTGGTAAGATTGGTTAAAATGAGGAAAAAAAGTCCCATTTAGTTTGTATAGCTGAGGGGGGATTTTCATTTGAACATCTCCAGATCACAACAACATATTAAGCCTGAATAACTATTTCCTATTCAGAATCAATACTTTCTTCTATTTTTATAATATGCTTTATAAAAAGTCCCATTCGATTCAATTATCAAACATTGATAATTATAACAATAATAATCTCATATGCAGCCTGATTCTCAATGCCTCTAGATGGCTTACAACCATTAAACTACAAAATTACAATTCAATAAATAAAATGTAAAAAATAAAGATTAAAAAATGCCCAGTGTGACCTGGGTGAATTTACATTGTTTGTAGATCAAGGGAATTGAAATTGAGACACCCCCCCACACCTATTTATAAGAGAGGTGGGGAATTTATCTTTCCCAAATATCATCCAAGAGTTCTTGATAATACCTTAGCCTGGTTTATTCTAAAGAAAGTCCTTCCAAGTTTGTAAACTATAAAGATGGGCCAGTGAGGTACCTTTGTGTGTAGAGCGTAGCCTATTCATTAAAAGGTGCATTCTATTGTATTCCAGAAGGGCTTAGTGTTGTGTTTTTTACTATCTAAAATGTTGGTGTAAAAGAAAATTAATATCCTGGCTGGCTTGTGTTTTTCTCTGAGGCAGATATTGATGAATGTGCTGAGGGGATCATTGAATGTCACAACCATTCACGCTGTGTTAACCTCCCAGGGTGGTACCACTGTGAGTGCAGAAGCGGTTTCCATGACAATGGAACCTATTCACTTTCCGGGGAGTCCTGTGTTGGTAAGCAAAGCTCAGCAGAGAAGTACTGTTATTGTTCTGCCTTGTATCAAGTCCAAGGACCATCTTTGATGTTAATCTTACAATGTAACCAACCCTTTATGTAAGTCAGTGCTAACTTGCACAATAGAAGGATTATTATGAGAAAGATGAGCTATCACATCTCTAAACAGTAACATGAAAAATGGTTTTCTGGAAGACATATTGTAGATATGACTCCTGTCCTGAAAGACATTTCAGATAAAACAACATCCTGGAATTGTGAAGTGGATTACTATTTAATTCTTCCAATTCCTAGCTTTAAACTTTAAAGATTTAGCCATGCAAAATAGATTTTTTTAAACTCATTGATCAAATTTGACATATTGTTTAACTTGACATTTCTTAATATAAGAGTTGTATTTTTGTCAGCTGCCTTGAGAAATAAGAAGCAGCTTAAAATACAGTATATTGAATAAATATAGTTCTTAAAAATTGTTTTTTTTTTTAAAAAAAAGCAACAGGTAATCTTTATAGGAATCTTTCAGTGCAGAAAAAGACTTGAGTCTTTTGTTGCATGTGTGAGGATTTTTGGGCGGGTGGGGTGTGATAGGTGTACAGAAATTTCAATTAGTTATATGGAGAGTTCAGATCCACTAGAAAAAAGTAACTCATAAAAGCCTGCATACGAGCAGACTCATCATGATAGCTCTCTTGCAATTCTTCATACTTCATTACCTGTTGACTTTAGTTTGCTACTGTCTTTTATCTTTCACTTTGAGGAAAAGGAAATACTATAGCAATTTTGTGCATGCAAAATTGGGAGCAACCTCACTTATCTTAATTCTTCACCTTACTTCTCTCAACTGGACAAGCTGTGGCCCTACCATGGACTATAGTGAGATGACACAGGAAGGTGTTTTCTGTTTGAAGAACTGAAAGTGGACTCAGCAATTCAGGCATGGTTTTTTTGGTTTGCACAGCAGAACTTGGAAACCAAAACTCATCTTGGGGGAATTGAAGATAGCTGATGGGCAATGATGACAAGTCATAATAGACAGCCACAATCATGAAAAAGACTGTTCTCAGTTGGGCATTTGAGGAGGGTCACTAGAGTTAGAGGATGCAATTTTGAAATAGAAGTGCAGGTTGAGTTTTGGGCAGAGTGTTTAAGAAGCCCATTATTATGATTTGTATAGCTCTCATTTTTTCTTCAAGAAAGAGTATCTTGGTTATTTACAGTATATCACATGGGGAAGTTTGGTGTATCCTCATGTTGCATATTTTTATTTGCACGCAATCTCTTTTTTTGCCATTTAAATGAGCTGAACTTAAATTCTCAAAATCCCCAGTCTATATAATTTTCTGATGGAATATTGTGAGAGGGTTTCAATATATATTAGCATATATTAGATAGAAAGAGCTGTAATAGGGAGATGTGCTTTAAATTATATGGTCATAAATAAAGAGGGGGCTTTTTATGTCTTGTGTATAAGAGGGATATATGTATGCTTTTGTCTCTTTATACCAGTGTGGTGTAATGATGAAGATGTTGGGGTAGGTTCAAGGAAATATTCAACTACTGAAGTCCTCTGGGTGGCCTGAGAACAATTGTTCTTTTTCAACCCAACCTACTTCCCAAAGTTGTTGTGGGAAAGAATTAGAGGAGGAAATACTATGTATTGTGTCCTGGACTTCTGAAGGAAAGGGGCGGTTATAAATTTAATTAACTAAAGTAGCTTGCTCTTTAGTTCATGGTTTATGTGATGTGCTTTTCCCCTCATTAACTGTCAAGTCTGTAGGCTTTTAGACTCTGGCCCAGCTATATATCAAGCAGGTATATGCAGACTGGGATATGTGCCATTTTTTAATGAACTGGTTTATGAATGAGCAGATTTGACTTTGGGGAAGAAAGGCATCATTTTATTATTAGCTTTTGTTTAGCAGCTGGCTGCCCCCACTGAGGGGTAGCCAAATGGGAAAGAGCCCAATTCTTTACCTGAAGGAACCACAAGATATCAATCATGGAAAAGCTAGGCAGCATGCTTATGTTGTGCTGCAATGCTGCACACTAACAGCCTGCTCTTCCTGGTAAGTATATACGTCCTCCACTCAGTTCATTGCTACTTCAGGTCCATGCCTTGCCAACTGCAAACACAGCTTTCAAAAGAAATTCTTTCTGAGTTGCCATCTGGCAAATCTAGTTTACACGCAGAGGCCAATAAGTGGTAGCTATCACCTTCAACCCTAGGTCAGGCTTCTCAGCCAGGAGTTAATTGTTGTGTACTTATAACCATTGAACTACATCAGTTGAAATTGTCTATTATTCATAAGGAAGGACAATAAGGACCACTCCTTTATAACTGCAACAGATAAGTTTTAGTACCGACTCTGGGTACAATCCTTTAGTATTGCTTAGAGGTGAAACAATGTCACCTGACTATCTTCTATTGTCTGTCCCAAGGTATATGGTTCATTACAGCTTGTTGAAATATTTAACTTCAAAAATTAGAGGTGATGTGGTTTCCTCACTCAGTCTATTTCTTTAACTTCCTACCACCTAGAATGTAGAACTGAGTTTCACAGCTGGTCTTTATATTGTAAAAATCCTGAAGCAGTTTAAATTGAGTCATTGAGATGGATAGCCATGGAAATTGAACGAATGAACGGCAAAACATTTTTAAAACAACAGGATTATTTGTTTTGTTGAATCTGTTACATCTCCAAATATCAAAGTCTCTTGGGCCTTGAAATAAATGGGGAACAAAGTGCAATAAAGCCAGGATTCATTTGAAAGTGGGCCAGTCAAATGTTGAAATTCAAGGTAGAGCTGTCCAAATGGAGCTCAATTATTGCACTTGATAAGGTGAGAAACCTCAGGCAGGAGTTTTTTTTTTCTGAAATATAAAGAAGCAGGCAGCCACTAGCATTTTAAATAAGGATTTTAGAAGACTTTATAGCCAATCTGAACTACCTATCTTTGTTCTTGTTCTGAACTGACTGTTGTATAAGGCAATAGAAAGTATACCGGCAGAGGTTTTCAGAGGTGTAATTGTGTCAAAAATGCCACATTTCAAAGCATTTTATGCCTCCAGTAGATAACATTCTACATGAAAACATTAAAATCCCTGTGGAATGAGCTACCTCCTGGAATACGACTGATCCCAGACCTCCGTACTTTCCATAAGGACCTGAAGACTTATTTATTCCAGCAAACCAGCCTAGCCTAAATGGTTTTTTAATGGGAATTTTTAAATTTTATAGATTTAGGGTTTTAAATTGGGAGGCCGATTGATTTAATTTATTTTAGCTATCTTAATTTTTGTATTATATGTATTTTAATTTTGGCTGTCCACTGCCCTGAGTCCCTTTGGGAGAAGGGCGGTATACAAATTCAATAAATAAATAAATAAAATAAAATAAAAAATTTAAGGTCATTATTGGATAGTTAGAATTTTACTGAGTTATCATTTTACTGAAACCAGCAGGATCTAAAGGATTTCAAGGTAGTATACTTTCTTTCTCCAGAATTTTAAAAAAGTGATTAATTCACAAAAGCAATGTTAAAAAATGAAGGGTTTTTTCTGCACTCATTTCCCAAAATGCAAAAGCATCAATCATTTTCAGTGGGAAAACATTTTCAAGAGAAAAAAATAAATAATTTTTTTTGAGTCAAACTCACGTCCCAATGATTCAAGTGTACTTCCTTGCAGCCTTCTTGGCAATATGGAAGTGATTTGATCATATTTTATCAATGTCTAGAACAGATATGGTATTTCCTGGAAATCTGCCCTGATTACTAACCAGCTGGGTTAAAAAAAAATCATCATATGGCTTTCTCCAGTTCCTCTGTTAGATAAACAAATCTAGTCAACTTTTTGACAAAGTCTAGTCATGCTAGCAAGAAGGGATTATTTCTTTCATATTAGAAGGAAGTCTCAAACATAAAAGAAATATGATTCAATCTATTCTAATTTGCTTCATGTATCCAAGAAATAGTTCGTTGAAAATATGTCAACATAATTTGTGATAAAGATTAATAGCTTTTTGGATAAGTAGCATGTACTTTTCTCTCTCTCTCTCTCTCTCTCTCTCTCTCTCTCTCTCTCTCTCTCTCTCTCTCTCCCTCCCTCCCTCCCTCCCTCCCTCCCTCCCTCACACACACACGTATAGACAATATAATATTGTAAGGGAAAGAAACATGGTAAAAGCAGTATGATACAGGTAGATAACTAAACAATTATGATTAATGAGAAGATTGAAAATATTATACAACTAATATATTCCATATACAATTAAAGTCAGAGTACTATAAATCATTTCATAGCCAATTTCTCAGCAAGAGATGTCTTTAGTAATTTGTAAAAATATATCTGGTAACCCAACTGAGAACAAGAAGAGAAAAAAAAGGAAAACTATCAATAGTAAATCTTAACATTTACTATTAAATAGGTTTTCTTAGATTTTATTATCCTGTCTTTATTATTTTTATAAAGAACTCAAGGCAGTGAACATACTTAAAAGCTGAGGTGGCACAGTGGTTAGAGTGCAGTACTGCAGGCTATTTCAGCTGACTGCTAGCTGCAGTCTCAAGGTTGACTCAGCCTTCCATCCTTCCAAGGTGGGTAAAATGAGGACCCAGATTGCTGGGGGCAATATGCTGACTCTGTAAACCACTTAGAGAGGCTGTAAAAGCACTATGAAGTGGTATATAAGTCTAAGTGCTATTGCTATCTCTTCTTCTTCCTATTTAGCAACAACCTTATGTTGTCTGATTTTTTTTCATTATTAGGCATTGCTTGTGTAGGAATTCACCAACTGGCTTGTCATGATGGCATGGGTTGGGGGACAGTGACTGGTCCAAAGTCACCCAGATGGCTTTCATGCCTAAGGTGGAACTAAAACTTACATTCTCCTGGTTTACAGCCTGATACCATAACCTCTAGACCAATCTAGCTCTCAAACTATATGCACAACAGAAATACTGTACGCACCTCAATTTTGCATAAGTACATTTTTCTTTT